GACTCAGGCTAAAATGACTCCACAGATCCTGGCAGGGGCCTCAGTACTAGAATAGAAGTGAGTCTTTGTAACCAGTGTCTGTGCAGAAGTGTTGTCAACCATGATTGATAGAGGAGTAACAAAAAGGAACAAAAATATAGTTTTGTTTCTTTTTTCTAGGAGTATACTTTTCAAATACACTTGTTTAACAATCCACATTTGAATTAGTTGGGGGTATTTATCAAATACAGATGTTTGTAGGCCTCACTCTAGACCTACATAATCAATATCTGAGTGTATGATCTAGGAATTTGTATTTTAGGTAAGTCTTAAGCATGGTGATGTTTGATAATAGCTACTGTTTGATAATAGTCTTCCCCACTGTCCTCTACCTTTTAAGAACTAGAATCAGTATCATTAATGTTTAGCTTTAAGATCATGTGACACTCTGATGAAACAGTTGGTCATAGTCACAGAATTCTAGAGGGTGCATAAAGGTGCCTAGAGAGATCATGCTAGTTCAGCAGACTTATAAAGAAGACAACTGAGGCCAAATGAGTGTCCAGTGGCTTTTACAGCTCTTCAATTCATAATGAATAAGGTACTTTATAATTTATAGGTCAGAAACTATGTAAGAATTTCCTGTACTATATAAATAATTATATATGTGGGTTTTGGGGTTTTTTTTTTTTTTTTTTTTTTTTTTGGTCTTTTTGAGACAGGGTCTCCCTATAGCCCCAGCTGTCCTGGAACTCACTGTGTGCACCAGGCTGGCCTTGAACTCACAGCAATTCTCCTGCCTCTGCCCCCACCACCATGCCCAGCTATGAATTAGAGATTTTTAAATATTCATATTCCTTCAATCTTGCTTTTCCCAAATGCTGTGTTTACAGATGTTAGCTCATGTCTAGCCTATGCCTCTTCATGTGTGGAATATAGTTACACTGTATTTTTTGTTCTTATCTTTTAATTCTGTCATCTTTGTTAGTTCTGAGATTGTTCCTATTCTATTGTTGAATGTTTCCCTTATGGTGTGTATTTCCTGCTTTTCCCACATCTGGGGTTGTTGTTATTATTATTCCTATAATTTATCAGACATTATGGTAAATTTACCCTTGTTGTGTGCCAGATGTTTTTACGTTCATTTATGTACTCTGATTTTATGCTAGAGCATGGGTAAAATACTTGAGGACAGTCTGCTCCTTTTGTGTTTGCCTGAAGCTTTGTCAGGGAAAACTAGAGCAGCCCTTGATGCCAAACTTTGTCTCTGAGTACTGTGCCTGTTGTCCTATGTACTGTTTTTTCATTTTAGTTCTTTATAATGATCAGGGTTCTGTTCTCCTGATCTCAGGCAGTTCTCTTAGACTCTCAAAGATATATATGTTTATATTTGTGTGTTTGTGTGTGTGTGTGTGTGTGTGTGAATGTTTCAAATAGTTACCTAAAGATTCCAGAAGTGGGCCTTTTAAAATGGGCGCTCTGGCCTAAAAATGGGTGCTCTGGCCTAAAATCTGAGCACTTCGGAGGCTGAGGCAGAAACAGCGTGATTTAGGACCAGCCTGAACTACATAGTGAGATCCTGCTTCAAAAACAAAATGGAAGCGAACCGTCCTATAGCTCTCTGATGTTCTCTCGTCTCAAGTTCTCAGTCCTGCAAATCACTGGCTGTACTGGCCGCACTGGCCTCCCTAGATTGTCACTCAGTCTTCTAGGAGGTTTTGGGGGTGGGGTTCCCTAGACTTGAGGCCTGTTTCCAGGTAGTCAGCTAAGGCAGGATTGGGCTCATTTCACTTGTTTCTTAAGCCACCCGGTTTATGAAAACAAATGTGGTCATTGATAGTGTTATTGAGAGAAATGAAAGAATGTTTGTTCTTTGACATAGGGACTTGCTATATAGCCCTAGCTGGCCTGGAATTTACTGTGTAGACCAGGCTGGCCTCAATCTCAGAGATTTACCTGCCTCTGCCTCCCAAGTGCTGGGATTAAAGGTGTGTACCACCATGCCCAGCCTTCAAAATAGGCATTTTAAAATGCTATTAAAGCAATAGCTTTGGGGATTTGATTGGAAAATCATTAATCTTTTCTATTCATATCACATTTGGGAGAATTTTTTTAAGGTTTTACTTTTTTAAATATTTTTTAAAATTATTTATTTCATAACCAAATGATTAGAAGAGGCATTTCATTACAACAGCATTGGCATAGTCAATAACAATTTCCAGAGCTAAGATGTATCTCTTTCAAAATTGGCTGCAAATTTTTAGGCTTACAGTTGAATTATTACAGTTATACAATATCCATTTCATTATTAAAATACATAGTTTCATACAGAAAAATTCATTTTTAATACAACTGACACTAAGATTTAATATTATTTTTATTTTATGTGTATGAGTGTATTGCCTGCATGTATGTGAGTGCACCTGTGTTGTGCAATGCCACAGAGGTCAGAAGAGGGCTTCAGATTCCCCTGGAACTGGAGTTAAGGAGGGGTTTGTAGCCACCATGTGGGTGCTGGGAATCGAACCCAGGTCCACTGCAAGAGCAGTCAGTGCTCTTAACCACTGAGCTACCTCTCCAGCCTCTAAGGTTTTATTTTTAATTATGTGTATATAAGTGCCTCTGGGGTTATATTCACATGTCCAAGGAGTTCATAAGAGGGTGTTGGATCCCCTGGAGCTGGAGTTATATAGTTGGTTGTGAGTTGCCCAGCATGGGCGCTGGAAACCAAACTCAAGTCCTTTGAAAGAGCAGTATGCACTTTTTATTTTTGGTCTTTTTGAAACAAGATCTTAGCCCCAGCTGGCCTGGAACTCACTATGTAGACCAGGCTGGCTTTGAACTCACAGAGATCTGCCTGCCTCTGCCTCCCAAGTGCTAGAACTAAAGCATGTGCCACCTCGTCCAGCTGCAGTATGTACTCTTAACTGCTGACCCATCTCTCCACCTCCAAGAAACTTTTTATGTGTTGTTTTTTGCTGCTTTATGTGTTGTTCCAGCTAAGCAAAGAGCTAGAACAAAAATAAAATCTATTATGGGGAATGAGAAACAGATATGTTTCAAAAACACCTAAGTATATACTTTGTGCCAGGAAGTCCCTGAAGATAAAGCAGTGAGTGAGGTGAAAATTCTTATCCTGGAGAACCTGCCCTATTGCAAAGAGGCGGTGATGGAGAAAGGGCAGTTGGCCATGGGTAGAAACAATAGCACCAGAAAGAAAGAATAAGAAAAAGTGCTTTGACCTGAGGGTAGATGTCTGTGATCCCAGCACTTGGGAGGCTGAGGCAAGAAGATTGCCGCAAGTTTGCACCTAGCCTAGGCTACATAGTAAGACCCTGTCTACAAACACTTTGGAGGCTGGAGAGATGGCTCAGCAGTTAAGAGCACTGACTATTCTTGCAGAGGACCCAGGTTCAATTCCCAGCACCCACATGGCAGCTAACAACCATCCGTAACTCCAGTTCTAGGGATCCAACTCTCTCTTCTGACTTCTTCATGCATTGCATGACACGGGTGCACTTACATACATGTAGGCAATACACTCATATATATAAAATAAAAAAATAATAATTTAAAAAAAACTTTGAAAGTTCTTAAGGTTTGGGAAATGCGCTGGATCTAGATCTCACCTATCTATCTTAGCACTGAAGTCCTTTTCCAGCCACTTGATTTTTTTCATCAGTTTTATTCTGTTCTTTTACTCCAAGAACTTTACACTTACTTGTTGACTATATACTTCATTATGTAACAGCGTTCTAAACCTTTTTTCCTGATCTTCTCTTCCTCTTCCTCCTCTTTTCTTTTGAGACAGGATCATTGCTGTAAAGCCCTGGGTGGCCTGCTGCTTATTATATAGCCTAGACTGGCCTCAGACTGCCTTAGCTTTCTGAGTGTTGAAATTACATGTGTGCACTACCACACCCAGGTTCTTTTACATCTGTGTTTCTGGAAATGTGTTTTACACTAATGGCTTCACTTCCCTCCTCTTCAGTCACTTTCATGCCATGGAAAAATGCCCTTGTTAGATGAACTAGGTACCACCCAGCATCCTTCCATCCTTCCCTTCATCCTTTGGCAGTCAATGCTATTTAGTCATGCCTTCAGACTCTATGCTTGGTTCCCTTGAGGTCATGCTTTTGGGTTAAGGTTTAGCTATTTGTTCTTGGTCTCCCCCCAGCACTGCAGGTTCTAGCCTTGAGGTGTGTATATATATGCTCCATAATGATCGTTAAGACTGTTTTCTCAACAGAGTGTTGACTCTTGGAAGACAGAAACATAAGTATTTTCATGGTGGTTTTCCCAACATTAGCCTAATACTCGGCAAAGGAGTATTTAATATTTGTTTAATGAATGTAAATATTAATAGTGGCTTTTAGTTTTCCTCTAGTAAGAGAAATCAGACCCTTCTTTAGCTTTATAGTCTATTCAGAATTGGCTATCACTGTTTTAACTTTCTGTGTATTATCCACAAGTGTGTTCTGACTGAACATGTAAGTTTTTTTTTATTTTAATTTTTATTTTTATTTTATGTGTATGAGTGTTTGCCTGCATGGATATAAGTGCTGCAGTGCCCATGGAGGCAAGAAGAGTGCATTGAATCCCCCTGGAACTGAAGTTATAGATGGTTGTTAGCCTGCCACATGGGTGCTGGAAACCAAACATGGGTCCTTTGCAAGAGCAGCCAGTGAGTGCTCTTAACTGCTGAGTCATCTCTCTAACCCCCTGAGCATGTAAATTCTTGAGACTGGTCACTCTCTCCCCCTCATACTGAATTTCTGTAGCCATTGACTTAGAGGCAGGAACCTCTGTTGGGAAAAGAATGATGTCCAGCTCTTGCTAGCACTGGATGTATTTTAAGATTCTTTTGTGGTTCTTTGTACCGCTCCAGAAACATTATGCTGCTTCAGACAGGCAAGGGGTACTTTTTAGTTTCAGAGTGTTATAAGGAGTATTTCTGATGTCTCTGATAGTTGGTGTGGATGACTACAGCTCAGAGTCTGATGTGATTATTATACCTTCAGCCCTGGACTTCGTCTCACAAGATGAAATGTTGACACCACTGGGGAGACTGGACAAGTATGCTGCAAGTGAGAACGTATTTAACAGGTGTGTGTACATTCTTTTCATTAATAGAAACTACAAGAAAGACTTCTTAATTTCAGTAGGGAAATTAAATAATCCACCCTAATGTAGGTATTTCCATGTAATCTGAGTTGCCAAATACTGTAGCCTGACCTGTATTATAGCCCTTGATTCATTGCTTTTTGGCAAGAAAAAAAAAAGTTGTGTTGTTTCATTTTGCTAGGCCTCTGAGCATAATTTTGGTGTTCATGTAAATTGCTTATTAGGAGCATATTATTCTTTTACCAGATGGCACGGCATACCTTGTGTGTGCCCGGGAATGTGCAGGGCACAGGGCACGGCAGAAACCAAGAGCTAGCACCTTTTTGGTGCACAGTTTCTGTAACTGATCTTTAGACCACTATATCAGACTTTTCTGGAAACTCAGTCTTCAACTTTTTTTGAGTATAGATAGAAAATGCTCATACTAGTAAATAAAACATTTAATGTAATGAAGAGTGAATATACTTTCCCATTATTGTGACAATTGGATAAGTGAAGTTAATTTTCAGTAACTAGAAATTTCCCCAGTCATTTGAAGATTATTTTAAAATGGTAGTAACCAATCTTATTATCATCTGTAAAGTTAAATCTAGCTTGTGCTACTTAGGAAATTACAAGTTTAGTATATTATGAAGTACAGTAAGAAACATGTCTTTATGAAACATATGGGTTCTGGTTTGGGGGGGCGTTTAAATTCTAAAAAACAACTATTAATGACACTGAACACTATCTGATTTTCTTTTTCTGTGTAGACAAATGGTGGCCCGGAGTTTGCTGGATACACTGAGGGAGGTCTGCGATGATGAAAGAGATTGTATTGCTGTTTTGGAAAGAATTAGCAGATTAGCTGATGATTCAGGTATGTTTTTATGCAGAGAAACTAAATTTATTGTCTTTAGAAAGGTTTCAGTTGACCAAATTTGTATTTGTTTCTAAAACTATTGAAGAAATTAGCATTAGAGATTTCTTTAAGAATTCCTAAGGACCAGGCATGATGGCCTATGCCTCTAATCCCAGCACCATGGAGCTGAGGCAGGTAAAGCTGGGGTTCAGAGTCAGTCGAGGCTACATTGAGACCCCATTTTAAAAATAAAAATAAATTCAAAGTAAAATTTTGTTTTCGTTTGTATTTTTGAGACAGGGCCTTCCTATAGCCACTGCTGGCCTGGAACTTACTACATAAGCCAGGCTGGCCTAGAACCGGCTACCTCTGCCTGCCCACTGCTCTGATTAAAGGTGTGCACCACCACATCCAATTCAAAGTAAATTATTAAGCCTATTAATAACAAGGGACAAAAATAAGATCCAAGCAGTTTATAATATGCTTGCTTATTCAGTTAATTTTTTAGATTTCTCATCAAAATAAATCTGAGAAATTATATCATTTATGTTAATATCTTAGCACTAACAACAATTTTTAAGTAATTCAGAATAAATTAAAAGTGCCAGAGGGATGGAGAGATGGCTCAGCAGTTAAGAACACTGGCTGTTCTTGCAGAAGACGCGGGTTCAAATCCCAGCACCCATATGGCAGCTAACAGCTCTGTAACTCCAGTTCCAAGGGCTCAACAGCCTTTTCTGCTCTCCGTGGGCATTGCATGACAAGGGTACGCTTACCTACATGCAGGCAATACACACATACACATAAAATAAAAATAATAAAATGTATTTTTTTAAAGTGGCAGAAGGACTTTAATTTTTTTTTTGAGACTTTCATATGTAAGTATTATATTTACATTATTTCCATCCCTCCCAGTCCCCTTTAAAAATTTTTTAGGTAAATACATAATGCTCTCTTTATTCTTTACATGGGAAAAATAGTCACTTATTTGTAAACTGAAAGCTGGTTTATTACTAAAGTAAAGACAGGAAAGTTTCCTTAAGAAAGAGGTAAACTTGGGGCTGGAGAGATGGTGCAGCGGTTGAGAGCACTGACTGCTCTTGCAGAGGACCCGGGCTTGATTCCCAGCACCCACACTGCGGCTATAAACTGTCCTTAACTCCAGTTCCAGGGGAATCCGAAGCCCTCTTCTAACCTCTGTGGCATTGCACGACATGTGTGCACTCACATACACACAGGTAATACACTCATACACATAAAATAGAAATGTTAAATAAAAATATATAGGAAGGGAGGGATGGAGGGGGGAAGGGAGGAAGGGAGGGAGGGGTAAATTTAAGCCTGACGTGGTAGCTCATTTTTGTAATCCTAAGTATTAGAAGACTGAGTGGGGCAGAACCTCAAGTTTGAGGCCAGCCTGGGCTGTCAGTGAGCATATGGAGAGAGAGGTGTGCTTGTGAGGAATGGGAGGAGAGGGGGGAAGAGAAAGAGGTACTTGATTTGAAACTTAGACTGTGATGATGTGTTGAGGATCTTCATTTTTTTTAAGATATGTTTTTTATTGTAGTAAAATACACATGACATAAAATGTGCTATTTTAAGATAATAAGTTGTTTGTATGTGTGGTATATGCATGGATATGTGGGTACACACTCATGCAAAAGCCAGAGGAGGTCATCAGATGTCCTGCTTTTCCAGTCTCTGCCTTACTCCCTTGAGACAGGATCTCTCACTGAACTCAGAACCCACAGTTTTGACAAGGCTGGCTGCCCAGCACGTTCCCAATATCTGCCTGTCTTTGTCTCTCAGTGCTGGGTTACAGGGGCGTGTGGCCATGAGTACTGATGATCCACACTCAAGTCCTCGTGCTTGCACAGCAGCACTTCACCCACTGAGTCATCTTCTCAGCCCCAATAATAATTTTTTAAATACATGCACCCGTGTCGTGCAGTGCCCAAGGAGGTCAGAAGAGGGCATCAGACCCCCTGGAACTGGAGTTACGGATGGTTGTTAGCCGCCACAGAGGTGTTGGGGCTCAAACCCGGTTCCTCTACAAGAGCAGTCAGTGCTCTTAACCGCTGAGCCATCTCTCCAGCCCCCCAGTAACATTTTTTTTTTAAATAAGTTCGGTTTTTTGTTTTTTTTTAATGTGTAAAGAGTGTTTTGCTTACATATATGTAAGCACACCCATGTCATGCAGTGCCCAGGGAGGTCAGAAGAAGGCATTGGATTCCCCTGGAACTGGAGTTACAGATGGGTGGTAGCTGCCATCTGGGTGCTAGGAACAGAACCCAGGTCCTCTGCAAGAGACGTCTGTGCTCTTAACCACTGAGCATCTCTCTAGCCCCCAATAATAAATTTCAAACATAATTTTATACTTGATTTGGAAATAATCCAAAAATCAATGTTGAAACTTTTTTCTTAAGTTGCTTTATTAAAAATTTTTAAATTCAAATAAATGCTGGCTTCTCAGCAAATACCACCTTTTAATCTGCAGATGAACTTGTCTTTCAATAAACAGTTCATTTATATAAGCCTTAAATTTTTAAGATTAAATTTTCTTGGGGCTGGAGAGATGCTCAGTGGTTAAGAGCACTGACTGCTCTTACAGAGGATCCAGGTTCCGTTCCCAGTACCCACATGGCAACTAACAACCATCCGTAACTACAATTCCAGGGGAATCTGACGCTTTCTTCTGACCTCCAAGAGCATTGCATGACATGGGTACACTTACACGTATACAAGCAATACACTCATATACATATAATAAAAATAAATAAAAGATTTAAATTTTCTTTTAGGATAGAAAATATTTGTAAGCTTACTTATTTGCATTACATAATTATTCTTATACATACATACCCATTCTGAAGTAGCTATAGGAGGGTCTAATCAAGTATAATTTTGTATTTTTTGAGTTAAGTTAAATAACAACAGTTTAGTTATGTGATAGTTTGTAGTGGATTTGTTAGATTGAGGAGGTTGCAGGGAAAGGGCATACTCGGAAGTAAAACACTAGTTTAGAAGCCTGAAGAGTTCAAGGTTGGAGCCAGCCCCTTTGGTCACCAGGGGGTCATCTAGTTAGGAAAGGAGGCAATAAAGGCTATATTGGAAAGGTTTATAATATGTCATATTAGAAAGTTAACATTTTTTGGTATAATTTATAACAATAATGTAGCAATATAAACTGACTGGATGAAAAAGGTGGGTGACAGGCAGACCAAGTGAGAGGTCATACTAATTGTAAGAATGGGTGTTTGAGAAAAATTTGAAGTGGCAGGAACTATTCCAGAGTGCCTTCGGCAGTTGGAGTGGCAAAGTTGGGTTGACCCTGAGCTTTCCTCCTTGGGTTGGCCTGATGGTAACATTCAAGAAAGATGTGAGTGTAGAAATCTAGTAGATGGTTAACTGGAGAAATCAGTTTGTCTAATTTGATTCTTTGTAGGTAATCTTATTTCTTCCTAAAATCCCCTTTCCATGGAGTTTGTTCTACAGTTTTATTATGATATATTCAGGAATAAATTTATTCTACTCAGAATTTGCCATGCTTCTTGAATTTGAGAATTCTTGTTTAACAGGAAATTTTAACCATTCACCTTTGAAATATTGTCTTTTCTCCCTCTTAAGATCTTTTAAGTTTAATTTGGGGTGTGTCTCTGTGTGTATTTCAGATAGATACTCATGTAGCCCAGTCTGGCCTTAAACTAAGGATAATCTTGAATTTTTTTTTAATTTAAAAAAAAAGTTGGTTTATTCTTCTGATCTTGAACCTCCTACCTTTACCTCCCATGTGCTGGGATTACAGGCTTATGCCACCGTGCCTAGTTTTATGCGATGCTGGGCAAGCATTCCAACTGAGCTACATCCCCAGCTGAGTAGGCATTTACATGGTTGAGACTGTGGAGCTCTTGTTTAACAAATGTCATAATTTTTCAGTCCTTTGTTCTCCCATCATTTTGGTAGTTTCCCTCAGCAAAGTGCCTCTCTGAAATTTCAACCTGCCATCTGACCATTGAGTTTTTGTTGCTATTAATGACATTTTTATTTCAGGAGTTTCAGGTGCTATTTTTTTTGTGTGGTTGTGTTTTTCTCGCCCAATTAGGTTCTTTTCTTGTTGCATTTCCTGATACTGTATCTTCAAAGTAGAATCAGAATGATTCAAACCTCTCCAGATTGCTGAAGTGCATGGAATTACAATCTTTCTGCTGCTGAGGAATCATTTCCTGGTCTGTTAGGGACTATGAGTTCATTTAGTGGGTCCTCATAGAAATTTGGTATTTGCTTCAGCTCCATTTTGAGTGTACTACAAGTGGCTAGGAGTTGTTAGCAGCTAGCAGTTCATGCTGATTTCACAGTATATAGAATGTGGGTTTGTGTTTTTATTTTGAGTGTGAAGAGAGGCCCCTCTTCACCTATGCTAGATCTGTGAGTTTGGAACCCAGATCAGGCTAGGTATTTATTACACACTGCTAAAGGTACGTGGATAAGTACACAACCTTATGAAGTTTCATACAGTGAAGATCAGTTCATGTTATCAGAACTCACATGAAATGGAACTAGCACCCTAGAACCATCTCATCCCTCCTCCAAAGTAAGCACTACTTTGACCACTGAAAGAATAGTGCCCAGATAGTTTGCCTCTTTAAACTTTATATAGAATCATACTTAATGTATTCTTTTTCGTCCAACTTCTATGTTTCTGAATCTTATGCACGTTGTTTTCTGTAACTGTATATGTGTGTGTTTATTATTAATTTGATACATAGTAATTTATCTGGTAGTTAATGAGCATGTGAATTACTTCCAACTTTATGCTCTTGGTACTGCTGTTAGGCAAGCAGTCATGTGGAGCCATGGGCACACAGATTTCTGTGAGTGCATGCTTAAAAAGGAGTCACTATGTCATAGGATGTGCAAAGATTTATCCATGATAGATATATATCTTGTCCTAGGATGTTCTTAAATCATGGAGTTTGCAGATAGTATTAAATCATAGTATTGATATAGTCTATAGATAGTATCATATAATAGTATTGGTATATGTATTAAATAAGGTATTTAACCCCCAGTGCAATGTGTAACATTGTAGATGATAAATTATAAAAAAAAATTTATCCAGTTTGTATATTATGAATGATAGAAACACTGGTTAGAAGTGATTTCCTTCCATCATTTATGATTTTGGAAAGAACTACATGATTGAGAGAATATTTTTATGAGCCCTTTCCATGCTGAAAATGAAAAGTCTAAACCTTCCTAAGTAGCTTTGATAAAGTAGCTCAGATAAAGGCAGTTGTTTTCATGAGAGAATGTGTTTGTTCATGTTGTTGTTATTTCAATAGAACCAACCGTGAGAGCAGAGCTGATGGAACAGGTGCCGCATATTGCACTGTTTTGTCAAGAAAATCGGCCTTCGATACCATATGCTTTTTCCAAATACTTACTACCTATTGTGGTGAGATATCTTGCAGATCAGAATAATCAGGTAAGGTTGCCTTTACTTCTTAAAGGAATTTCATGTAATAATGTATGTAGAATGGCCTATCCTACGTGATAGAATTTGAATATTTTCCTGGTCTAACTTGATTATTCTATTTTACAAAAGTGACCAGTTGTCTTAGATTATGTTAAGACACTAACAGATTTGTTATTAATGCCATCATAAATGGTGCCTGGTAACCAGTCTTGTGTGGGACATCTTTACAAAAATGTTTTTGTGTTCGACTTTATCTATTATGATAGTCTACCGAGTTCTATCTTTGTAATAGTTGAAAGCAATAGCCATGTTTATTTGCTAGGTTGTGAAGTTATGGATTCTTTTACATTGTTATTAGAAGCTTTCACATTGGTAAAAATCAGGTTGTGGAGTTTTATTATGTCACATATGTGTTTTGTTTATACTGTGGTGTTTTTCTTCTTAGGTGAGGAAAACAAGCCAGGCAGCGTTGCTGGCTCTGCTGGAGCAGGAGCTGATTGAGCGATTTGATGTGGAAACAAAAGTGTGTCCCGTCCTCGTAGAGCTGACTGCCCCAGACAGCAATGATGATGTGAAGACAGAAGCAGTGGCTGTAAGTAGCACACCATTTCTCCATTTAGGCAGACGAAAAGTAAGGTTTGAGAATCTAGTAGTGTATGTTATGACTCGCATCTGTGGTTCCTACATTCAGAAGTAAGAATTCTAATAGTAAAATAGAAAAACAATAAGTGAACCTGAGACTTTCTTCCCATCTAACTGGATATTCAACATTCACTCTTTATACCTAAAATACTATGATTTATCCTTTGTTGATATAAAGAAATTACAATAAAAGTTGGTAATCATTTCTGGATCTTCTAATTTCCCTTAAATTTTCCTTTTTATTGTTTTTAGGTACTCACCAATTAGTAAACTTAGGTGCTTTCTTTTTTCTCAGCAATATTTTTATTGACATGAAATCCATATACAATGAATCATTTTTTAAGGTGTACTGTTTAGTGGCATTTAATAAATTCAAAATGCACAATTATCACCTCTACGTAGCTCCAAAACTTTTAAATCTTTTTTGGCCTGGAACTCGCTATGTAGATCTCACAGAGATCTGCCTGCCTCTGCCTCCCAAATTCTGGAAAACATTTTCTTTTTTAAAAAAAAATTTTTTAAGCTTTTTATTTTTATTTTATGTATATGAGTGTTGTGCCTGCATGTATATAAGTGTATCTGTATTGTGCAGTGCCCACAGACACCAGAAGAGGGTGTTGAATTCCCTGGAACTGGAGTTACTGATGCTTGTTAGCTGCTATGTGAATGCTGGGATTTAAACCCAGGACCTCTGCAAGAGCAACCAGTGCTCTTAACTGCTGACCCATCTCTCTAGCCCCAACATTTTCTTCTTAATTTCAGAAATTCCTCAATAAAGTAAATCAATTTGGGCTGGGCATTGTGGCACACACCTTTAATCCCAGCACTTGGGAGCAGAGGCAGGCAGATCTCTGAGTTCGAGGCCAGCCTGGTCTATGTATCGAGTTCCAGGCCAGCTGGGATACAGGGAGACCCTGCCTCATAAGGACTGAAAAAGGAAAGAAAAGAAACGAAAATCAATTTGGGCATAATCTGAAAAATAAGTATAATAAATATAAGTATATTCATTCTTCATATTTTGTTTCTGTTTTAGGAAAAATTCATTCTTACACATTCAGTTGTCTTAGATCAGTGATTGTGATCAAGGCATAACTTTGGGTTTTCAGGCTTGCTAATGCTTTGAAAAATAAAGCTGGCCACGGGATTTTGGAGATGAAGGTGTTTTCTCCAATGTGATGATGTTGGGATTTTTGGTAGGGATTATGCTGAACCTATAGATCAGTTTGGGGAGAATTCCAACCTAACAGCTGTTGAACATGATAGATCTCTCCATTCATTTAAGTACTGATTACACCATTGTCAGTATTTTATAGTTTTTAACAGAAAGATCTTATATTTTGTTAGATTTCATTTAAATTTTTTAAATTTTTTATGTGTATGAGTGTTTTGCCAGCATGTATGTAAGTGTGCCATATGGGTGCCTGGTGGTTATGGAGGCCAAAAGAGGGTGTCAGAGTCCCTGGAATTGAACTTTCAAGTGGTTGTTAAACACCATCTGGAACTAAACCTGCGTCCCCTGGAAGAGCAGCCAGTGAAATGCTCTTAACTGCTATACCATCTCTCAGCCTCAGATTTCATATTTTTAACATTGTTGTGAATGATACTATTTTTTAAATATTTATTATTTTTATGTGTATGAGTGTATTGCCCACATGTGTGTAAGTGCACCTGTGTCATGTAATGCCTGAGGAAATCAGAAGAGGGCATTTAATTCCCCTGGAACTGGAGTTAGGAACAGTTGTTAGCTGCAGTGTGGGTGCTGAGAATCAAACCCAGGTCCTCTGCAAGAGTAGCCAGTGGTCTTCACCTTTGAGCCATCTCTCCAGCCCCAATGATACTATTTTTTTTTTTAATGGTCTTTTTTGAGACAGGGTCTCCCTGTAGTGCCAGCTAGCCTGGAACTCACTATGTAGACCAGGCTGGCCTCGAACTCACAGAAATCTGCCTGCTTCTCTGCCTTCCAAGTGCTGTTACTACAGGAGTGCACCACCATGACTGGCCAATGACACTATTTTTAAAGCTTTCCAATTCATTGCTAATTTATAGAAATACAGTACATTTGGGGCTGGAGAGATGGCTCAGCAGTTAAGAACACTGGCTGTTCTTGCAGAAGACCTGGGTTTGAATCCCAGCACCCACATGGCAGCTCACAGCTGTCCGTAACTCCAGTCCCAGAGGATCCGACAGCCTCTTCTGACCTCTGCGGGCATTGCACAACACTGGTGCACTTACCTACATGCAGGCAATACACACATATGCATAAAATAAAAATGATAAATAAAATTTTTAAAAAAGAAATACAGTACATTTTTATATTCTGATATAGGTAGTCCAAAACTCTCTTAAATTCATTTGTTTATTCTTCTCTATAGAATCATTGGAATTGTCTATGTAGACAGTTATGCCATATATAAATAAGAGTGTTTCTTTCCCATTTGTATGCCTTTTGGTTTCTTTTTCTTAGGTTTGCACATCTTGGGAATAGATGAAATTGGAAAATGATAATAGACATCAGATTTCCTTCTATATTAACTATGCAGGGAATGGACTTTTACAATAAAGGACTAGTTTTCAGATAAAGGTAGTTCTTAACCTTGCTCTTTATATACTATGTTAACCGGAACACGTGCATATTAAAATTATGTCCAGAAACCAAGACTCTGCAGAAGCAGGACCTGCTTCCCATACATACATTTCAGTTACCCTGGTGCTTTGCAAGTTGGACTTCTGGTGTGTAGTTTTTCTTTGGCAATATAGATGAACTAAAGCAGACCCTCTTAAGTATAATCTTTCCTTTTGAACAGACAATGCTTTTTTAAAATTATGGAGATGCAGAATTTCTCTTTCAAAATTACTAATAAAATGATCAAGAAATTAAGTAATGATTAAATAATAGAAAAATGAAACTTTCAGAATTTTCTCTAGGTTTACTAAGTACATTTGATATGTATTTGATTAATTTATATTTCTTTAAATGATACCAAGTTGAACTGAAAAACCTTAGAAAGATATTTTCAGTGTGTGGTTTGTTTTTTTTTTTTTTTCTCATTTATTTTAGATAATGTGCAAGATGGCTCCCATGGTTGGAAAGGATATTACAGAGCGTCTTATCCTCCCTAGGTTTTGCGAGATGTGCTGTGACTGTAGAATGTTTCATGTTCGAAAGGTATGTTAGAAAATATAGTGCTCTGATATACTGATACATGAAACTTAATTGATTGTTTTAAAGAACTTTGTAGGTGACATTTTGAACTGTCAGTGTTACTTTTGTTATAGGTCTGTGCTGCCAATTTTGGAGACATTTGCAGTGTAGTTGGCCAGCAAGCTACTGAGGAGATGTTGGTAAGTGTCACAGGTGTTGAAAACATAAGCAGTGTGTTGCAGAATAGCACAGAAAGTTTATTTCCCAGGCCCATGATTGAGCCAGGATGACATGCTAGAGCTAGAAGTTTAGACTTCTGCAGGCTGGCATTTGAAATGTGTTTTGATAAGGACAGTTTGTTAAAAATACAAATAAGTGCCGGGCATGGTGGCGCACGCCTTTAATCCCAGCACTTGGGAGGCAGAGGCAGGCGGATCTCTGTGAGTTTGAGGCCAGCCTGGTCTACATAGCGAGTTCCAGGTCAGCTGGGGCTATAGGGAGACCTTTCCCAAAAAGGCACCCCCCCCAAAAAAAAATACAAATAAGTGTGAGAAATACTGATACACTGTTAACGTCCTCATTTGTACTTTGTAAATCAGTTCTGATTTATTCAACTGAATCTTTAATCTAATTGCAACTCTCACTTTGTCAACACATAAGCTCTGTGACAGGTTAGTTTTAGGTAGTAGCGTGTAGGATATATATGCTCAATGTACAAGTTCATAAATTTAAAGAGTTTTGGAACACATCTGTTATGCAAAAGTTCAGGTACAAGCTCTTCAGTAACATAAAGGTATATTTGTTGAGAGTATTTTTGCATTTGCCTAGTGAATTATGAATTTAATATGATTCATTAAAAATTTTCTGAGTACTAGTATTAAATAGGTTTTCTACTTTTAGAGAATATCCAATGTTTAAAACAGAGAAAATGAAAGAGAAGTAACTGTGGCCTCCTCATGTTTGTTCTCATGTAGTTGCCCAGGTTTTTCCAGCTGTGTTCTGATAATGTGTGGGGAGTACGAAAGGCCTGTGCCGAGTGCTTCATGGCTGTTTCGTGTGCCACGTGTCAAGAAATCCGACGGACAAAGTTATCTTCACTATTTATTAACTTGATCAGTGATCCTTCACGTTGGGTAACATCATTTTTGTAAAATAATGAGTCTATTTTAAAATAAATATGATTTTTATAATTTAAGAAATAATTTATATAATTTATGCTCTCCATATGTTTAAGAGTAGATGGTAGAAAACCTACTCTATTAAGATTTGCCTTTGGTTACTGGACAGACAGAAGTTTTTGCAGATACAAGTCATGTTGACTAGCCGGGAATGGTGGCGCACACCTTTAGCCCCAACACTTGGGAGGCAGAGGCAAACGGATCTCTGTAAGTTCAAGGCCAGGTTGGTCTACCTAGTAAGTTCCAGGACAGCTGGGGCTACAGGGAGACCCTGTCTCAAAGAGTGACAAAAAAAAAGAAAAAGAAAAAAAGTCATGTTGACTTTAATTTGGCCTGATGTTTAACACTCCTTGACTTTTCAATTTTCATTTATGTGTGTGTGTGTGTGTGTGTGTGTGTGTGTGTGTCTATGGGTGGCCAAGTTGGCCAAAAGAAGGCGTGAAATCCCTGGATCTGGAATTATAGGCAGTTAAGAGTCATGCTTGATGGGGCTGGAGAGATGGCTCAGCGGTTAAGAGCACTGACTGGTCTTGCAGAGGACCCAGGTTTGATTCCCAGCACCCACATGGCAGCTATGAGCCATCCTTAACTCCAGTTCCAGGTGAATCCAAAGCCCTCTTCTGACTTCCATGGCACTGCACAACATGGGTGCACTCACATACATGCAGGCAATACACTCATACACATAAAATAATAATAATATTTTTTTTTTTAAAAAAAGAGTCATGCATGAGACATGGGTGCTGGGAACCAAACTAGGGTCTTCTAAAAGAACAGCAAGCATTCTTAACTACTGAGCCATCACTTCAGCCTTCATTGGCTTTTAGATAGCAGCTTTGTATTCCTGGAGTAATAAAGTTGTGTGTTGGTAATGGATTGAGTTTGCCGTAGTACATAATTCTCTTCATATGTAGCAACTGGATTCAGTTTGCTAGTGTTTTCATTGAAGGTTCTGTTTGTTTGTTTGTTTTCCCTCCATATCTCATTTTCTTGTAAAATTTTGCTTGGTTTTGTTATCAGGGTAATAATATCCTTAACAAAATGAGTTAAAATTTTTCCTTGTTCAGCCTTATGAGAGAGTTTGTGGAGAACTAATGTTCTCTCTTCTTTAAATGTTTGATCAGTGGTCATAGCATTTGGGCCTAGGCTTTTCTTTGTAGGTAGTTTTTAAATTACTAAAATTAAAATTTCTGAGCTGAGTGTGGTAGTGCACACCTTTTAATCCCAGCACTTGGGAGGCAGAGACAGGCAGATCTCTGTGAGTTCGAGGTTGGTCTGGTCTACAAAGCGAGTTCCAGGACAGCTGGGGCTACTGGGGGACCCTGTCTCAAAAAGACCAAAAAAAAATAAAATTTTTTTAATTGAATTTTCTGTGACTTTGATTGGAAGCAACCTCAGACCTTTGGCAATATTGAGAGAATAAGCGCAGGCTCATACTTTAAGAAGTAACATTTCCTGAGTTTTTTGGAAATAGTGCTTATTAAAAAGGAGGTAATAATCCTGAATTCACGTTTACATTTCCCCCTAGGGAGTATATAGCTCTAGCCTTCTTTAAAACCAATTAAATCATTTTTCTGTATATACTTTTCCAAGTAGGCAAATGGTAATATATATCGATATGTATATATTACATTTTTTCCTTTGTAAAATTCATACATACTATATGATCCTCTTTCTAAAACTTGCAAAAAGGGATTACTGTTCATCTTTTTAGAAATAGGATGCTAAACCTCAAAAGAACTTGGTCTGTAGCACACTAGCTCTAACATTGTGATTTCCTCTGCATCTAGCCCTACTTCGTCCTGTAAAATTCTTCTGAACTGTTTTACATTTTTTAAAATTCTGATTTCAAAAACAGTTACAGAAATCACAGAATTAAATAAAATTCTGTAACCTCCTCCATTGTATGACATTCATTAATAACGCTAGGATATGTTTCCTGTTGTTAAGTAGATTCTAGTGTTTTCCAAACACTAGTGTCTCCTTGTAGCAAACAAATTCATCTTTCCTACTGAAAGCATTAAGTGTTTTTGTCATGTTTGTTGACTGTACTGCTTCATATTTTCTGTTTGACAGTCTTGGTTCTCTTCATTTTTCTTGTGTTTGAAGAATACAGGAATACTTGCTAAAAATTTTTCTATTTATATGTTTTATAATATCACTTAGGCTTTCATGGTTTGAGAGAATCCAAAAATTTAAAAAAAAAAAAAAGAAGAAGAAGTAGGCGCTGGAGAAATGGCTCCGCAGTTAAGAATACTGAATGTTCTGGGTTCAGATCCCAGCACCCGCATGGCAGCTAACAACTGTCTGTGATTCCAGTTCTAGGAGATCCAATGCCCTCTTCTGACCTCCATGGGCATTACATAACATGGATACACTTCCATGCATGTGGGCAATACACGCATATACATAAAATAAAAATAATAAATAAAGTATTTTTTTAAAAAACAAGTAAAATTTATAAGGATTTTTAATCCTAACTAAAGAAAGATTCAGATTCCAGATTTTTTTTAAAAACCTTTACTCTTATCCCAAACATACTTTGGCTTTGATGCATAGAAAGTAAATGGTTAAACATCTGTGTTTTTTTTTTTTTTAAAGCACCTCTTTATGCTCATGTTTTATTCCTTTTTTTCTTCTTAGGTTCGCCAAGCAGCTTTTCAGTCTCTGGGGCCTTTCATATCTACTTTTGCTAATCCATCTAGCTCAGGCCAGTATTTTAAAGATGAAAGCAAAAGTTCAGAAGATTTAACAGCAGAAGACAAAAATAGGTATAATTTTAAAACTTTGTTTTCTATTTGCACTATTTGTGAACAGCATCCTCAGTATTTTGCAATAAAGACTCTCTGGAGAGTTTGCAATTTCTCTTGAAAATAAAATTTAGTAAATATTTTTGTAGTGTTTTAAGTACATACATTTGTTACGTCTTCAGTTAGTTCTATATTAAGTAAGGAGGTGCATGTAACACATTTAGCTTAAAGCCTGACACATAAGAAACTAAATGACAGATTTGATCATCTCTGAGTAATTCATGAATTATTTGCCTAGGAAACTGTTAAAATTTAGAACATACAGCCTAATGCATATATAATTCATAGGTATTTTTAAATTTGTCTTTACAGATATCTTTAAGGAATAAAACCTAACTTAAGAATATGTTTGCTTTTATATATAGTCCACTTTTGACTCTTATTTTTCCTTGCAGTCAGTTAATTTAATTTGATCTTGGATTCTTTGTCCACAAAATGTTAATTATAATCTCTCAGTTGAGGAGGGAATGATTAGCCCTAAGTTGTTATGCTTATTAAATGGAATATCCATTTTAAGACAACCAATAAAGCTCAAAGAATGACTTATTTTAATTTTTTTTTACATTAAAAATAAATTGCTTTTTAGTTCTTAGAATTTATTATAGTGAGGGAAGAAAAATACCTTTTTGGGTCTAACAGTGCATGGGAAATGTGCGCAAGCTTTACAGTTTTCTCATGCGCTAGAGTCCTTGTTCTACGACAGCTCTACTGTAATGCAGTTGCCATGTGCCTTCTCCCTTGTCACGATGCTAATGAACATTTTCTTCTGTAGGTCTTGATACTGGGGTATTTGCTTTCTTGGTGTTTTGATTTGACAGTTCTTCCTTTCTTCTCTGCTGCCTTGTTTTACCTTTTTGCCCGTTCTCCTACTGTCCTGCCAAACAAACCTGAGGTACTGTTTTTGTAAAGGAAGAAATAATATCACTCTAACCCTGTCTTCCTAGCAAGCAAAGTCTCAGTTCTTTCAAAAACAGATGCTGGAAGGAATTTGACAGAAATGATTGGGGGGGGCGGTACCTGTTTTTCATTTTTGAAGTCCGCTTGCTTTTATAAATTATCAATTTAAGTTTACTGAAGACTGGCATATAACTTTTTTCTTAAATCTGGAAAGGTCTGATAAATGTAAATTTATAGGGAATTATATAAGTCAAAGCATGGCACACTTACAGGAAGAGGCAGATGATAAATATTATTCTCTGGTCACAAACACCTTTGTAGTGTGAAAACAGCCATCAACATTATATAAATGAATGGCTTTGCTGTATTCCAGTAAAACTTTATTAGTAAAAACAGTTGGTTTGCTAGAGTAAGGTTATGTCTGATGACTGATAGTATAAGGCATTGTGGAAAAACTAACAATAGTTTAATTTCTTGATTCATTCCCCCTCTATAACAAAGCGATGTATCTTGGTGTCAAGTCAATTTTATTTGTAGCACTGGACTATCTATAGATGTTACTGAATTGTCTTAATGTTGTATAAAGAAAGAGAATTCCTGGGTAAGGAAGGAGTTATATTAGATATCATAAAAGCTTTTGCATATTTATACATTTTAGCTTCATAAGAGCTAGTCCTGTACATTACTAAGTCTTAGAACCATTGACTTGATTGCCTTCCCTTAAACAGTGCTGGCTTTTGTTCTTAAGCTGATGTAGAGTTGCTGTGGGTGGGTGGTTGGGTGGGTGGGTGGATGGATGGATGGATGGATGGTTGTGCAAAATATAACTGCGAACCTACTGTGTACCTAGAATTTGCTTCCTGTACTTAGGGTTTTCTCAGTTACCTAGAATACAAATTTTCCTGTTCTTAGAGTAAAGATTTTTTGTTTATTTTTGTTTTTAAGATGTGTGTGTGTGTGTGTGTGTGTGTGTGTGTGTGTGTGTGTGTGTGTGTGTGATGTATGATGTGTACTGGTGCCTGTAGACACCAGAAGAGGATGTCAGATCCCCTGGAGGTAGAGTTACAGGTGGTTGTGAACTGCCTAACATGGATGCTGAAAACCGAACTCAGGTCCTCTGGAAGAACAGCAAGTGCTTTTAACTGCTGAGCCATCTCTCCAACCCCTGAAGTTTTTATTCTACATTTCTCCTACTGTTTAATTTTTTGTATAATGTTTTACCTCACTCTGAAACATTTGTTATCACTTGGTACTCTCTCTCTCTCTGAAGGATTTATTGATTATAGACATCTGTCTTTATCAGATCTATCAGGCTATTAATACTTCTTTAAAGACTGATAAAGGCTACTTTGAGAAACAGAGTAAACTGTTAAAATTTACACTTTATTTAATGTAAAGTAATATTCTTTTTAAATTGAGGTCTGGGGCTGTAACTCAGTGGTAAAGTGCTTGCCTAGAATGTCTAAGGTCCTGGGTTTGATCTCTGTCAGAGCAAAAATAATTATATAAAATCAGCATTCCCTGACACTCATTGAAACAGTTGCATTGCTCTTTGAATGCACATTGCTCTTTTGGTTCTCTCTGCCTTTTTGCTTGCTGTTCTCTTGGGGAGCATCTCCTTTTATCTGTATTGTCTCCATATCGAGTACCTCCCAGACTCTTCCAGGAAGTACCTCCCTGACTCTTCCAGGAAGTTCAGAGCTTTTTGTCTTTGTTATCAGTAACACTGGAATTATAGCACTCATTTTTAACAATGGCTTTTAATGCTGTAGATTACAAGCCTGTCTAGTGTAACAGTCTACCTCCCTCCCACTCTCCGGAGTGTCCCCAATCCCACCTCCCTCACAAGTATATGTCCTCTTATTCTAAAAGCCTATGGGTTTGATCTCCAAAGCCTTCAGCAACTGAACCAATATAATTGATTGTCATTGACATCAGGAAGTCTTCCCTGATGTCAAAACTTTATTTAATTAATTCACAGTTATAGGACTTGAAAGGTATGTCCTGCTGTTTTCTTTACTTTTTGCCTCAGGATTTGATGCTGTTTAACCAGATGTTCTTTGAGTCATTTTTCCCCTTGAAACAGTTGGACTGTTTGCCAGGTGCCATAGCCTCTGCTGAGGAGTTATTCTGAGGGTGTTAATAGTTTATGTGGGAATAAGAAAACTGAAACAGGGTCTCATGAAGCTGAGGCTGGTCTTGAGTTCCTGGTGCTCCTGATTCCACCTCCCTAGTTCTGGAATTACAGGCCTGTGCCACCACACCCAGTTTAGGATTCCTTTTGAGAGAACCTAGGCTATAGTGCTCTTGTATGCATAGCTCTCAGAAGCTGGGATGTTTCATCTATGGTGCATGAGCCTAGGTCCCCTCAGTGTCCAAAACCACCTGGCATTGAGAAGTCTTGACAGGAGTGTCAGAATTCTAGCAACTGGCTGCTTAGACTTGCAGTGACTATTACTCAGCTCCAGGAAAAATTGGAGCTTAAGGAATTTCTCCTTAAGCAGTTTAAAGCCACACAGGCAATACTTCCTCCCAGAATTTAATACTAGGGTAAACTTTCTCAGATCTTGTAGTTGTGTGTTTTAAAAAAAAAACCAACAACCTCTGCATTTAAGTTTAGACATACTAATAGATTTATATTAATTAGGTGAGAAGAAATGACTCTGATTTTGTTGCTGAGTCTTTAATCAGCAAAATTAATCCCAATACTAAGGTGAGATGGTAGTCAAGTCCTTGGAATACTTTGACATTCTGAGTAACCCTAGAGTTGGCTTTGTATTTTAAATGAGGGCTTCTTACATATGCCAGATTGTAGATAAGGTCTTAGAAATTTTACTTCCCCTTCCCATTTGCTAAAAAATACCTGGTTATCATAATTTGTAAAATTAACTTTGAGTGATTCTGAAAAAAACTGCAGAAATACCACAGCATAGCCCATGTATCCTTCATCCAAATTCTCCAAATGCAGTTTTACCATAATTGCCTAACTGGTTCTTTTCCTGACCTTTCGAGAATGTCTTTCATGTGTTCTTTTTTTAACCTCTTAAATAACTTTACTATGTATTTCTTCAAAACATAGACATTGCTACATAGCTGTAGTCCAATTACTAGCATTAGGAAGTGACACAGTAATATTCAGGACAGATTGCTTAGAAAATGCATGATTTGGAACACATTTCTTTTGCAGAGTAACAGCTTTAATAGCTATTGGGTAGAGAAAGCATCATAAGGCCATCAAGCCAGCTCCTCATTTTGAAGAATAAGGACCAAATGAGGAGTCCTAACAGTCCCTGAAGACTGAGTTTTGTATTAAGACAGCACCTGTGCTAGAGGAAGACTATGCAATTGAGTTTCCTCACAGCTGGCACTCAAGTTTATTGTGTCTGCATATTCTATATTTTATAGTTACAGAGTGGAAAAGAAACACTAGAATTTAAAAATACTGTTGCCATGTGTTATATTCCCAAATGGCGTGCATTTTAATCTTTAAACATTTTTTAAAAAACAAATCATGTTTTTGAGGGGTTGGAGAAATGGCTCAGCAGTTAAGAGCTCTGGCTGCTGTTGCAAAAGACCCAGGTTCAAATCCCAGCACCCACATGGTGCCTAACAACTGTCCATAACTCCAAAGAGGGGATCCAGTACCCTCTTCTGAACACTGTGGGTATTACATGATACAGGTGGCATGCAGGCAAAACACTCATACACATAAAATAAATAAATAAAAACTTTTTAATGTTTTTGAAAATGGCGAGCACTACCAGAGGGAACTTGATTGGGGGTGGTGGGAAGTGTCTCCCTATGTCCCACCAGCTGCCCTGGAACTCCCTGTGTAGCTCAGGCTGGCCCAATTTCATAGAGGCACACCTGCCTCTGTCTCAGGAGTGCTAGGATTAAAGGTGTGCACTACTGTGCCTGGATCAAACTTGATGCTTTCATGAGAACCTACATAGTGCCTGTTAAACTGGGACCCTACATAAATTTTAACATCATTGTCCTTTTATACAATTCTCTTAAGCCTCCTGTTTGATTTCTTTTATTGGGTATATTTAAAGGCACATAGCCCTTTATGGGAAGACTTTTTTTTTTCTTTATCATATTCACTTTACAAATTTACATTGATCTTTATCCCCCCCACCCCCGTCACCTTTTTGACTTCTGTCACTTGAGCGTAGTTTCTCTCCCTAGAAGACTGATTATCAGTGTTCCATCAGTGTTGGTCTCCAATTCTTTTACCCTTCTGACTTTTCCTCATCCTAAAAGTACGTACTTTGCCATTCTTTTATATAAGAAAAACACCTTCACTCCAGTATTATGAGTACCATGTGTGTGTTTGTGTTTCTTGCTTCATACATGGTTCAGCCCCGCACATCTTTGATTTGGTGACTTACGAGTCTGTCTCTAATCCCCACCTCTTTTCTTGGTGGCTGACTGTTTCTTACAGACATCACCACCTAGAATTTAGCCAATGCCTAACCATCTCGTCAGGACCTGAACTTGTTAACTTTTTCATTTAAGCTGCTCTCAGATTGTTTTATCTTTAATTAGTGTTACAGATTTCAGTTACTCTAGCCAGAAATTTGGGTATCTTCCTAGATTCTTCCCTTCATTTCTTGTCTCTGGCATGAAATAAGTGAACATTTACTATGAATTTGATCACCATTTGGTTGTCATTCTTCTGTGGCCCCACAGATACCACTTTTGTTCAAAAACATTATTTTTCACATGCACATCTAAAATTCCTGCAACTTGGCTAACCTCCAACTCATTTTCTTCACTGCTGCTTCAGGGGTCTTGGAAAGAGCTTCTCGGTGTACACTGCTCAATTGCTTTGTTTTTTCCTATAGCCCATAGGATAAATGCAGAAGTATCTGGTATGAAATACAGTAGTTCCCAGAAGATTTTCATCATTACCCACTTTTTCCTTCTCTTGGCTCCAATAAAATCATTGTTGTGTTCTGAATTTCCTGTGCCTGCCCTGTCAGTGCCTGCTTTCGTATGCTGTTTCTTTTAATGTTTTCATCCATTCACTTCATAAACATTTATTGGTTCTAAACACAGTCACAGCATTTCCTCCAAGGCTCTGTGGTTCCACTTCCATCTGGCCTGTGCTCAGGGTACGTACTTTAGCTTGCATTCAGGCGTAATTTTAAAATTTTTTGTAGAAATTTATATTTTAATTTTTATGGTGATACTTTGCTTTTGCAGTTTACTTTTTCTTTTCCTCTAATCTCATGGATAAGAGCTATAACTCACATTCCGTTTTCAGGGTTTTGCTTGTTTTGTTTTTGAGCTATGTAAGCCCAAGCTAGCTTCAGATTCTTGGTTCTCCATCCTCAGTCTCTCAGGGGCTAGAATTACAGGTGAATACCATCACACATGGCTTATTTTCCTCTTTTTATTTTATTTTATTTTTTAATTTTATTTGTGTGTGTGTGTGTGTGTGTGTGTGTGTGTGTGTGTGTGTGCGCGCACGCACGCCAAAGATTGTTGTGTTGGGTGTACAGAGGAAAAAGGTCAAATTCAGGTGTCTTCCTCAGTTGCTTTCAATTTTTTTGAGACAGGGTTTCTCACTGAACCTAGAGCTAGACCAGCTGACCAGCATGTCCCAGAGATCCTCCTGGTTCTGTCTCCCTGGCACTGGGATTATAGATGTGCGGCTCTACCTAGCTTTTTTACGTGGGTGCTGGAGATTGAATTTGGGTCCTTTTGTTTGCCCAGCAGGCACTTGACCTAACTCTACATCTCACATCTGCATCCTCACATTTGGTTTATTTCCTGGATCCTAGGAGGTGCTCAATAAATGTTTAAGTTTAATAGAGTTAAATAGAATATAGGAGACAATAAACAGTAAAACTTGCCAGAGTGCTCTAGTGTAGATGATAGTGGGCTTTCATCAAGAGCTTATACCATTTGTCTTTATCAGTTAACTCATAACTTCCTTCTGGAAAACCATTTTGAGTAGAGTTGGAAATTAAGGAAGAAATAAAAATAATCCTTTATTTATACCTAGATTTTTCATATATGAGATAGTTAATATCTTTATTGCTGTATAGAGTTATTTACCCTTCTTTTATAAGCAAAAAGTTTTTTGATTCTCAGCTTCCACTGTGTCATTGAAAGAGAGTGGCAAAACAAATAATCCCCAAATCAAATAATTTTAAATTTGTATGTATCTTAGAATCCAGTGTAGGAATTTCTTCTTCCTATTATTATTGATATTAAAAGGTATTGTAGTGTCCCAGGATTTACAAGTGTTACCTTCCCTAACTGTTAATGCCTGAGTATTTAGACTTATGCTTGGCAGGTATTTATGTCTCTGAATGCAGAAGAACTGATGGAAAAAGAAGCATTATGTAAAATGCAAAAACTATTCAGTTTGTGTAGATTATATTTTTAAGTATCAAACTTATCTAAATGCTATATGTAATGTCTTTCATTGATTTTTTTTCCCAGTAATTGTTTCTATGCTTCCATGTTTCTTTTTTTCCCCAAAATGAAACAATAAAAGGATCAAAGAGAATGACATCACAGAAGAAGGGCAGATCAGACAGGAGGATGTTCCTTCAGACCTCTGTGTCCCTCATTCCAGTGCCAGACTGGAAATCACAGCTCAAGACTGTGCTGCTGCGACATCTGGGAACTCTCCAGGTGACCTGAGTGTTCCTGTGGACAACTCCTTCCTCTGTACTTTGTCCTCAGAGTCTCCTCAGGAAGCAGCTAGTGATGAGAATGATAAAAAGCCTGCTAACTACAAATCTGCATTCCGACCAGAGCTTGGCACCAGCTCCTCAGATTCCACTCTTTTAGATCAGGAACTGTTCAACTCCTTCCATTTCTGGAGGACTCCACTTCCCGAAATAGATCTTGATATAGAGCTTGAACAGTACTCTGGGGAGAAACTCAGCCCAGAGGGACCAGGAGAAGCTCCTGGAGTCCCTGTGCCAAGTTTTCCTAATATCACCATGGCCACCCGGAAGGAACTGGAAGAAATGATAGAGAACCTAGAGCCACACATTGATGACCCAGATGTTAAATCTGGAGGACTCCACTTCCCGAAATAGATCTTGATATAGAGCTTGAACAGTACTCTGGGGAGAAACTCAGCCCAGAGGGACCAGGAGAAGCTCCTGGAGTCCCTGTGCCAAGTTTTCCTAATATCACCATGGCCACCCGGAAGGAACTGGAAGAAATGATAGAGAACCTAGAGCCACACATTGATGACCCAGATGTTAAAGGTATGAAGAGTCAGTTTTTTGTTTTTTGTTTTTAAGAAAAATTGCCTTTCAAGGTAGGGTTGTTCTAAGTGTAAAGAATTGCATCTAAAATAGGTTTGTTTCTATTCTTTATTGTAGTTGTACAGATGTGTTAATTCACAAATCATTTTTGTAATTAGTGTTTCACAAAATTTTGTTTTGAGCTCTGCACTAACCATTCTGCTCTGCATCTCATTTTTTTTTTTACTTTACAGCACAACTTTTTTTTTTCATTCAGAAGAATTCATTCCAAAGCAATTGACATTGAGACGTTTTCACATGCATTTCTAATCTCTATATACATGACTATCACTGGTCACAGTCGCCCACCTTCTGAGCTCCTCGGCATCTGAGCATGAATACAAACTCGTCAGATAGACAGCCTTCCTCTCCCACTAGAGGCTCCATACTCTGCCATCCCTGTCACTGTCCACTGTGTTGTCAGCACCCTCATCCATTCCCCCCTGTCTGCCCTTCTGGTAAATCTAGTCAGCCAGAGGTCCCTGTTCCAGGAGGGTCAGCTGTTCCTCATCTACGGCAATCCATTGTCAGTATTCC